AATGGGCGATACAGGTGTCCCATGTCCATTTCATTTAGCTCTTCACGTGCTAGTTCTCTTCTGCAGTACTGCTTTTATGCTGAACCTCTGAGCATCTTTCAGTGGGGTACCATATTTTGCTACTGTTTCCATCCAACTTTCATTTATTGTGGAATAGCCATCAAAAATAATACTGCTTTCAAAACACGGATTCCATAGTAGCCAACCCTATATCAGTGTCTTGAGTCCTGCTTAAGATCCTGTGCAGAGCAGAACTTCTGATCTGAGTGACTTAAATAATACTCTGAATCCATTAACTTGTAAGTTTAAGATTTTATTTCCTGTAGTGACTTATTTCACTGTGCTCTGGCTAAAAAATCTGTCTTGAAGGAAGACGTTATTCAGGCTCAATCATTTCCTTTCACTAGTGGGCTCTTTACAGCACAAAACTTCAAGGTGCTGTGGAAAAAAAAAAAAGAAACTAGTATCTTTTAAGTAAACCTAGGTGTATCTTTTCCTCAAACCACATTTTAGGGTTATCAGTAATATCCTTGCTTCTTACAGTTAAAAGAAGCAGGAGCAGCATGGGACCCCAGGAATCTAAAAGGAAGTAATCTCCAGAAAGGCATTAGAGTTGCAGACCTCTTTGACAAATTAAAATGATATATTGAACAGAATTTTTAGGTTTGTCATTTTTGAAGGGGAAGGGGACCCACTTTGTTTGGAGCTGACTGGAAGCCATGTCTGCAGAATGTGCAGCAGGAAAACACACGTCCGTTCTGCCCATGAGTGCGGGTGTGACTTTGATCCAAAAATAAAAGTGACCAGGCTAGGGACAGCTAATGCACTATTTTGAGTGACTGCCAGGAAGTGATAATTGTCTTTGTTAATAGCCCAGGTCATGAAGAGTTTGATTCTAAAATATCCTAGTCAAGTCCTGTTTGAAAAACACTCTTTATATAAAACCCCCCATGAATATCTGTATATATCTGTGTATACATATATGTACACAGATGTCCATATATTTGTATATATAAAAATTCTCTTCAATAAATTATTATAATGTTGCACAAGTTATTATGGAAGACCATAAGTTAGGCTAGTTGTGTAAGGAAGAAATATCTTGTTACAACAACCAGTATGAGAGAGAGGGAGGCACAGAGGTGTTTAGGCCAGCTACTCGTTACGTATCTGAAGATCCGGTGTGTCTGAATGCTAGTCTGTTCTGTCCACCTCTGCTGCCAGACTGCATTAATTGAAAGATGCTGTTGCTTTCATTTTATTCTTTGCTCTTCCCATGAATAGCTGCTGCTAAGCATTTATGATCGTTCCTGGGGACCTGTGCTAGTGTGGCTATACAAACTAATCAAAAAGACATAAAAGCTCGCCTGTAACCAGAATTCCTTTTCCACTCATGTCACACTTCGTTTCCTCTGTATGCCTCGAGTTTGTGCTGAGGATTGATATGTGCTTGCAGGCACCTTCCCTATGGTGGTGCGGTGCTCTACCTTTAACTCAAAAAGCAGCTTCATTCAGAAGAGAAACTGTTCTGAAATACCTGTATTAGCTATGATATACTCTGCTTTAGATGTTTAGATTATTTCTGGAATGCATCTGTTACTGAGCGTAATGAATCGAGTTGTCAAACACGATGAGATTTTATTGCAGTTAGTCCCTTTAGTTGAACCATCTTGGAAGTGACTTGTTTACTCCAACAGTAACATGGGTTGCAGCTACATAAGTGAGTACGAACTAATGTGATTGTGTCTAGGCTAAAGCAGATAAGAGGCAAAAAATGTCACACTGACATTTTTGTGTTATCAAGCAGATTATAAACTAATCCATATTAAAGAAAGATTACACCTGGTGGACTACTTTTTAATGTTTGCTTTAGGAAAATCTTAATATGGGAGACTTGGGACAACATGGTAGCTTGGAGGAGGAGGACTCAAGTATACAGGAATGCAAAATTTACTCCCAGTAAGGCTGTTCCACAGAAATGCTGAAGCTGTGGGTGTATTTAGAACAATAACAATAAATATTTCATGTGAACTGAATCTGAAATATATGACATGTCTATCTAAAAGGGACTGTTTCGTCAGAAGGGTATTGGTGCTAGCTCTGTTAAACATTTCCTTAATCAGCCTTTTGGGAAATTTTCTGTCTCTAAGCTTGCATAAGCAAGTTGCTGAAGTCTGTAGTTGCATTTGAGTAGTTGGGTAATTTACTGCTTTCATGGCAGTCTAGTTGCTGAGCAAATGGTTTATAATGTTTTATGGGTAGGACTAGAGGAACTGGCTTGAGCAGGAGGGCTACAAAATGGTCAGTTTGTTTTCAGAACCTTATATCTGAAACAATGACAGATGGACAGTATTGTTAATACTGAATGATAAAACTATTTTGCACAGTACCTGGTTAGCTATATTAAATCCTGTGGTACTAGAGTGAGGATAATTCACAAGACATTCTGGGGACTCGGGAAAGAGACTGGTAACACGTGTCAGTCTGTCACTAGCAAAGTTTGAAATACGCCAACCCTAACTATTCTATGACTCTGTGATACTATGTTAGTGTTGCATTAACCCTGACTGGTAACTAAGCACCCACTGTCTATTCACTCATTTTTCTCTTACCTCCAGTGGGATAGAGGAAAGAACTGGAAGAAGAAAAGTGAGAAACACTCATGGGTTGTAATAAAGGCAGTATAAAAAGTGAAGGAGAGGAGGAAAAAAAAACAAGTGATGCAAAATCAGTCAGTTACTACTTCCCACCAGCAGACTGATGCCCAGCCAGCCCCCAAGCAATATCTGCATTGGAAAGACCAAGCCCACAGGTTTTGTTGCTGAGTACAACATTGTATTGTCCAGTTGTGGTCTACTGCCACATCTCTGTCCTCTCCAAACATCTTTCCCAGCCCCAGCCTACTTGGTGAAGGTGCAGAGTGAAAAATAGCAAGGGCGTTTATGCTGTGCATCAGCTAAAACACTGGTATGCTATCAATGTTGTTTTAGTCACAGATACAGAACATAGCACCATACTGGCTGCTATGAAGCATCCCAGCTAGAACCAGTACAATATTCTGCAGTATCTAACAGAATAAAAATACATAAAAATAACTTTTTGAACAACTGTACTGTGTTAGTGTAATTAAGGATATTGAGAAAATGGTATTTGTGTATGGAGAGTACCATGTCCAGATTGTACTCTTGGCAAAACAAGATAGGGTCTTTGTTTCCTGAGAATACTGATTCCATCCAAGTCCACTGTGCATGAACAATACAGGCGCTATATTTCTACATAGCAATTGTGGACTTGGAGAATAGCATAAAATATCTTTTGTTTGGCGTCACAGATCTTAATTGTTTTTTTCATTATTTCTCAATTGACTGAAGATATTCAAATTTTCAATATACTGTATTGTCTTTTTTGAATTAATAATATGGTAGTTAAGATGTTAATGCTCTGTGGAAGAAAAGCATGCAATATATGTTTATATATCAGATATAATGGCACACATTTTTGCAAAGAAGTACACTCAAATTACATACAAAAGAATATTTTCTAAATGCTTAAGTATAGAGAGTGACATATCTGCATCTAGTATGCTTGATTAGTACAATTAAATGATGTAAGAACATGGATAAAATATGACACAAATTACATGCTAGACATGGTATCCCTATGAGTTAATCTCAAATGACTGGCATCTTTTTTCCAGTGGTTGTAAGCATGCATGCCCTATGCTGGCACTGTCACAAAAGTTCATCTAGATAGAGATCTTACTGTGGAAGATGAGACTGGAAGCATGTTGTGATGTCAAACATTCAGCAGTGCTGAAGTGCTGTTGGAGAGGTCACAAACCAGCATTATCTTCTCACAGTGTGGATGAAAGTAGCTTCTGTCTCTCCACACTTGGTCAAACCCAGAAACTTCTTCAGTTTTTCAGACTGCCTTTTCAGTATTTTCACTTGTTTTGTGATGACTGGGAGGTCACACAGATTTCTATTGCCAACACTTGTGATGTTTCAGATGAAAAGAAAAAAACATGAAAGAAACCCCTTGGGGCTCACCTTTATGTGTCATCTCATTGTGGAAATTTGAGTAAAAAAGTAGCTTATAAAGTGTCTGTTAAGGAAGACATGCAGTCAGTTAACTTCAACATATCTGTGAAATACAGCACTGTAATGTTCCATTGTGCTTTACAATTAACAGTTCTGTGACTATGCGTCAACACCACAACTAAGTTGGAAAGTAAGACTTTGTTCTTAACACATATTTTTTACTTAGGTTTGGGGGTTTTTGCAGATTGTTGTTCTTTTTGTTAATCTGTAATAACTGGTTGATGATGAACTCATCATCTTCAGCTAATGGATTTAAATAATTCTGAATTTACAGTTTCAGTAAGTTCAGTATTTCAACTCTCAGACATTTATACAACAGTTTGCAACCTAAACTCAGGACTCTCAGACATTTATACAACAGTTTGCAACCTAAACTCAGGGGTAGTATGAATAAAAGTTGCAATGCTGCAAACCTCTTCCCAAATTATACACATCTGAATATTTTAGGTTAACCAAGTAGACAGAAAATAAGGGTAATTTAAGGTGAATGCTTAGCTTCCTGGATCTGCTGAGTATCCTAGAGTAGTTGTAAATGGAAATGGGGTTTGTCTTACTTCTCTGAATAGTGAATGCTATCCCCAAGTTATAGCAGCTGTGTTTCTTGTGAAAGTGGCATTGTACTAATGTGTACAAGTCTTGTCATTGCCTAGCATTCCTGTTAATGGACTGCTTGTGTAGCCTGATCACATTCCCACTTCAGCTTCATTGGAAGTATGGTATTAGTATAGCAATACTTTCACTCTTTTTTTTTCCCTAATTATTTAAATTGATTTGTCCTAGATGTAAAACGTGGATTTTGTGCGTGTATGTGTTTTTAACACATTGACTGCCTCCAGCTTACTTTTTAGAGTTTGATTTTGAAGAAAATAAGTAATTTTTAAAATAATTTTTGCCTTGTAGGTTAATCTCCGAGCCACTGATGTGAAGCTTATGCGCCAGCTACTCATCATCAATGAAAGCATTGAATCAATCAAGTGGATGATTGAAGAGAAGACCATTGCCAGCAGAGGTAGCAGTTTGAGTGGCAGCCTGTGCAGCTTGCTGGAAAGTCAGGATACATCCCTGCATGGCAGCTGTAACAGTTTACAAGACTGTAGTGATGGACTGGATGGAATTTCAGTGGGGAGTTACTTGGACACCTTAGTGGATGATGTCCCAGGTCACCAGACCCCTTCAGATATGGACAAGTTCAGTGATTCTTCTATTATGGAGGACTCGCAGCCTCTGCATAAGCATACCAAAATTGATTCTGATGAGTACTACTGTTTTGGTTAAAGAGAATATGTTCCTGTGGGACACAAATGCACTTCTACTTACCCTTTTTCTTTGCTGCTATTTTATTTCATGTGCAAACCTCCCAAACTTCTCTTGGAAGTAAAACGTAATATGATAGTTCAATTCTACTTCATAACTTGTCTGTTGCTTCTAATACATTTTCTCCTTGGTGGGTTGGGCTTTCCTCTTCCTTTTCTTTTTCTTAATTTATTGTTGCAATTTTTCATTTCTGTTTTAATTTTTTTACAATGCTATATTTACAGGTGTTCATAAGTGGTGAAGGCAAAGCTTTATCTTTAAAATGAGACACCAGGGAATGAGAGCAACAATTTTGTATTTGTTGGCAATAAAATATCTTCCGATAAATATATGTTGTGGTAAATATTCTTGACTACCAGGTTTGGCCTTTCCAATGACACTGTTCTTATTGAGCCTTAAATCTGAATCTTGAAAATACCTCTGCAGAATGTATTTTCCTTTTGTAATCGATGATATTTGATTCTGTTAAGCTTTCTTCAGTTGAAATACAAAGTATCCTAAACTATTTTCTGTGGAGTTTCTTTCTTGTTGAATGTTCTCATCCTTGTTTAATTATGGTTTTAAATTCTGGGCTTCATTGGTGTCTTGCAGTGATGCATTCCAATATTGGAAGCTCTGCGTAAGAGTATATTTAATTTTTGTGCTTCATACCTTTCATTTTCATTGAACTTGCTGTTTTATAGGTGCAGTCTATATCTGTTAAGAAAAAAAAAAAAAAAAGGAAAAGGCATCCCGCATTAAAAATACTCAATTCTAACAGTTTGGATGCTAAAATTCCTCAGCAGAGTTATTTTTAAAATGTAATTTAAAGTCTTGATGAGAATTTTTACCTTGAAGTTTTGTGGGATTTAGAGAGCTCCTGTGAAACGTTTTACAGGAGGCAACATGCTGGCAGGCATGTCCTGTTCTGCTTTTGTATGCACACCCTCCTCCTTAACAAGTTTACTTTGTTTTTACCAAGTATTATTACTTAGAGAAAGTGTTGCCCTGCTGTCTTTTTGTTTCCTGTTTTACAAATAAAAGTTTGCTTTAACGTTTTCATGCCTACTGGTACAGTTGAGAGCTGCATCTGGTCATTCATACTGGAAGCAGAAAAACAGGAACAAACTGCTGTGTAGAAAGTCCTTAGCTCCTCTGGCCCATACTTTCTTTCAGAAGATTAGGAAGCAGATTTTATTTTAATTACTTCAGAATTGTAAAGAAACAAGATTTTATCCTTCTACAGTAACTAAAAAATAAGAATAAAAGAAATAGTATTGAACTGGACACTAACAGATTAATGAAGGTGCATTTCCAGCTTACAGATAATAAAAGAGATGTTCATATTTACACATAATCTAAAAGTCTTGCCGTGTCTGTATTTCTACTTCCAGTAAAGTGTGAAATTCCTCACCAAAGAAACTAATGTTTGCCAAGTATAATACAGGCTCCCTCTTTAAAATGTATTTTACACATTCCAAAGGAATAAAGCTAGTATATGCAGCGGTTGACATATGTTGGTTTGGATCATTTTGACATAAAGTAGTAGTTAATAAGGTTCTGCTCTCAGAAGCTATGTTTCCATGGATCTGTCTTGTCCAGCCTTGATCAACATCAAATGTGGAGGAAGACAAAAACTGAAGAGATTGGAAGTGGCAATTTGTGCTTTTTGGTTAGTTCCATTAGTTCTCAATAGAATAGATGTCTGTGTCCCTCAAAACTGAAAACCAAGTTATGTATATTTTACTTCAGACATCATGATTTATTCAAATGCAATGAGAGTGAAGAAATGTAGGCTTACCAAGCATGAGGCTTCTCAGTTCAACTTCTGAGATCAACCAGGGTACTGCAGATAGCTTGAAGGAAAACAGAGGCAAACCCTCAAATGACAATACTGTGGTGATGTAACATTTTTAGGATTTTTAATTCCTTCCCCAGCTTATGACTGCTGCACATAGTTTGGGGAAAAAAAAAAAAAAAACCAAAAAAAAAAAAAAAGCTTGAAGGAAAAAATGTGAAAAAATTATTTCTGTGTGCCGTTAAATAGAACATCAACTCTGAATTAAAAATAGGTTTTACGGCTTTAAATTATTTGAATCTAGGGGACAGAACTAACTCCCTGATACAAAACTGTGACTCTCTTGAGTTTTTGTACCTTTATTGCTTGGCATGGAAGTTAAACATCAGGATGTATGTTCCCTCTGAAGGTAATGAAGATTCAATATATACAGCCTTTTCTTCTCCAGCTGAGATTTTGGGCAATAGGCCAACACGCACATAAAATTTTTCTACGACAAAGGAAATTCAAAAATATTCTTGACATACCTTCTCAAATGTCCCCTAAAGTTCTGCTGAAATTACTTCGAGAAAAATAGGCTGTAGCTGTCACCCACCCACTCACAGCTGTAATACTGGATAAAAAGCAATTACATCAATGATAGGTTTATCATGTTATGATTAAAAAGTCCATTTATATGGGAATTAAATCTGGCAGAAAAAAGCTTACTACTAGAAGTGGTGCGATAAAAATGCTATGTGATTAGAAGCTTTTATTCCTGACTGGAGGTGGAGAAAGAGTACAAATGACAAATGACAAAACAGAGATTCTGGGAGACTGTGAGAAGGAAGCAAGATTTCCAGGTGTTATGTTTCTCATATCCAGGAACATGAACACCTTGAGCTTTATTTTTGAAGCATAAAATCTTCAAAGATTTAGGTTTGACTTAGATTCCTTAATTAAATTAATAGTACTTCGTAACCAAAAGGTAATAATTTACTCTGACTTCCAGTTTAAGACATGAAATTTGGGTATCTATCTCCTAAAATAAGTAACTGACAATTAAACTACAACTTCACTATTTAGAGAATGTTCAATGCTTCTTAAAAGTATATTCCCATTGGGTAATAGTTTTGCTTTTGAACAGTTTACATATTTGTTCCAGCTTCCTCTTGACTTAATTGACCTTGGAATTGCAAACTATTTGTCCAACAAAAAGGGGTCTGGATGCCCTCTTCTATCATTTTAGAGAGCTGTGTTCTTTTTTCCCCTGGGTTTCCTTGTAATATTTTTTTCTGATTTACAGATCTAAAAATCAATATTCAGTAGCATAAGGCAGAGTATATGAAAGCACTTTCAAAGCTATTTCTGTCTCAAATGGATAAAAAGAAGAAAAAAAAAGTAGAAAAATAGCAAATATAAATCATTTATGCCCTGACATTTCCTAACATCTTGGCTCTCTGTCACTTAGCTGGCTTCCAGGAGACAAGCAATTTCAAGATAATTTGCAAAATCATAGGCAACGAGCAACAGCCAGTCCATTTTTATTTCTGTACTGCTGAAGTTTTCTCTTTGAAACACATTCCACTATGTAAGCTGTGAAATTCAGAGACAATGAGGGACAGTCCAAAAAGATAGATTCAATATGCTTTCTGTTTTAAATAACTGTTTGCTGCTAATAATAGGAGCTAGCCAGTGAATGGATGTGCTCTGGTTCTCAAGCAAACTACACAAGGAGAAAAAAAAGAAGAAAAAAAGCTCAAATTTTCACTTCTGAAAATCATCCTGCTAAGACAGTCTCGCTGTGAAGTTCTGGTGCACTTTCAAAAAAGCAATCAAAATTCTTTGAAATCTCCCTGCTAGCTGCTGGGTGTAGTATTGATGTCAAGGTAGCTTGTTTGTGTCTCCACAAATGCTATGGAGGGATAAAGAACCAAGCAGGAGCTCTGGGATCCATCAGTAGGCCAGAAACACTATACTAGAACACTGAAGACAGAATAGCACCTCTGCCTTTGGAAGGTGCACTACCGTTATCCTGTGAATTGAAAAAGGATGGTTTTAAAAGGCAGAAATCTGGTGTATTTTGTTAAAATAAGCCCTGACTTCTGAAACGTAGTAAAATGCTGAAAGTACTGTCAAAATACTTGAAAGTTGGAAGTTCAAAAATATTTCTCTGCATTTCCCTTTGAAAAAGAGAACTGGTTAGTCAAGGTGGGTGAAGTGCTGTATGAAATAATGTCTGGATACACCATGTAGCTGTATCTTATATAACCCTACATAATCCACTATGAAACTATGGGGGTTTTGTTTAGTAATCTTAAACAGTTACTTAGCTGTCTAAAAAGCCAGTGCTAATGCTTTTCATGTTGCCAACACTTCTGAATGAAGCCTAAAATATGTCTTTGATATAAAGAATTAACGTATACCCAATAAACGTAAGATCAGTAGAAAGCATCCATCACCCTACAGCAAAGGAGACTTTGTTTCACTTTAAATGTGCTGTGTTACAGCAAGCTTGTCTGTTTTAGAATAGCTACAAATTTACTATAGAAACAGTATAGGAACATCCTGCCCTGAAACAAACAGAAGATTTTCCCTTACCTAAATAAAGAAGAGATTAATGCTGCCTGCACTTGACCACTTGTACATTGTTCAGAGATTAAATTTCCCTGGTAAGTATATCCTGAGTGAAAATAAAAGAACTTTTCCCTTGGAATTTTCTATGCTATGGCATGCCATTAATAAGATAAACAACCTTCATGAAGCTTTTTTAAAAGCATGCTTTTCCAGCAGACATGTTTGGCCTTCAGGACTGGCATTTCCCTATAGTCTTGCTTAGTTTTATTGGCTCAGTCTTGAAAGAAACATGTTTGAAAGGTATGTCTTTTAGTTAATATTAAATGATACAAATGTCTGAGAATAAGTATTGGTAACAAAATTTATCTTGCGGTTTGCAGTTGGTTGATTGGTTTGAGTTTCATTTTTCAAAACTGGCTGCAGAAACTGTGCTGGTATTGCTGAGCAATTTTATTTCCCACCCACCCCCCTCCAATTTTTGTTTGAGATACAGATAGAGAGAAAACAACAGATTGAGCCCAAAGGTCTGAAATCATTCTTTTACTTGTGGAACAAGCACAGTTATCCTCAGTGCAAACTTGTCAGCATTGCTGGGTCTAAACTTTTAACACAATAAAATCCTTCCATG